CAAATACAGCTCGTATTGTACCAGAGGTATAGTAAAGGGTAGGGATGTAATTAGAAAGAACTACTTTGTTTCTTGCCACGAGTAGTTGTACGGAATATGTGGCTGTTTTTCCAAGATGATTTGTTGCTCCAGTTTGACGTCAATTCGCCAGTTATGACCGTTTGAGTACCCTACTAGTATCAATTGCGATTGGAGGATATTATACTGCATTCAATGTTTTTCAAACGGATATTGATAACTGTTCGGTCGGTTTGAATTCTCTGGGTGTGATTTAAGTCTTGTAATATCTCCAACCCTACTTAAACAGAGATTGCTAAAGGAGCCAGCTTAATAATTCACAAATATTATTAACAAAATCTGAAGATCCGGTTTGAAAAAGCGTACAATAAATTTAATTTCCATGTTCGACAGTAACATTTCATAGCAAAACGAAAAGTGTTAGATAATAGATTCATGATTAAATATTCTACAAAGATGTACATTGTATTCCGCGTCAGTTAATGAAATTACTGTTTTAGCCGTATGCGAGTTCGGTTTAGCGCAGTTCTACATGCGTGAAAAAATAAAATTAGCAATAAAGACGTTTTGAATGGAACACCGTAGCATCTGTGATATGTGAGAATTAAATAATCTAAGTTGTTAGTTTCAACCTATTACGTCCCAGACCTCAGAATGATGATGCCACTACTGTTGTAATAGGTAAATGTGAGTAAAGGTGACTGAAAGCGTATGGCATTTAAACTCGAATAATACTACCGCTGTCGCCCCCAGGGAGGTTGTAATTTATTGTTTGGCGACTTATCAGCTATCCTAACATTTCCTAGTATCAATCTTTTCCGATTTCTCCTTCCTAGACAAAAACAACCTGATACATTGTGTTTGGATGGGGGGTGCTATAAACAAATGATTATAGAGTTCTAAAATAAAATAAATTCTCCTTGTATAAACGGTTTTTTCTCACACTTAGTTGAAGGGTCAATCATCAATGGTCCAAAGCAGGGTTTCTTTATTGAAGAGCTCCTACGCATAGGCAGTCCCGCGAGAACAGTTACGAGGGCACGAGAGTTTTATTGTTTATATCAAATAGCCAAAGTATAAATTGGAGTTCCGTCACCATGACCTTTGGTAGACTGTAGAAAGTTAGACTGAGCTAAGACAATGAAATGTCAGCTTCTTGTTTCTATTGAATTACAAACTCCGATCACAAATCAGAAAACCTTTCGCATAAAAAAAATATACGAAAGCCGATATTTTAAAGAAACATACGCGTCACGTTCTCAGACAACATTTGTCAATATCCCAGTCTATTTCAGTAGGGATGAAATAATAGTTTCTATATAGTCATGCTGGTATATTGAGTATCGTAAGAAATTAAATATGTAATTTTACATTAATGCTTCTTTCGTTGATGTGATACTCTTTATTGTGTGATGTGTGCGAGGCTTTATTGCTTGTTGATGTTTCTTTCTAAGAAAACAAAACAAATAACAGAATCAGACTATTAACTCAGCCTGGTATTTATCGCTGGTGGTGTTTTTAGTCGAGTAAACTTCAGTAGTCGGACTTATATACACAGCGTGTATAGCGTTTGATATTAAACACATGTAGCTTAACAATGCTAGCAGTAAAATCGTGATAGTGTTCCACTACAGAAGGGCCACAACAATAGAGTGATTAGGAGTGCTGTGGAGAACATCGATTAGCAGCCATTTGTATTTCTGTGTCTCTTCATTATGGTGTACGACTATCATCTGTTGGCTATCCGATTAGTCCAATTAGGGAGGTCCGCAGAGTGTCGGATATCGACCGAGAGGTCAGAAGATCATTGCCGTCTTAGTGATGTCCGGAAGTTGACATTCTTATAAATGACCGCAATATGTTAAGGTGGCAAAATGCATACATAATGTTGACAAGGTTTATGAAATCAACACCGGAAATAACGAACTCGTAGCCTAGGGCCAAAGTCATGTAACTGCGGAATAAAGTTGGCATCTGGTCGGTTACGCTTTTAAATTAATTTATCACTTTCTTATGATATTCAATTTCTACCCAATTAACTATTTAATTTACAAAGGAAAGCGCACGGCCTTTTATCCGTATAATCAAAGGACCTTGGTAAACTGCTACTATCTAAGCTATAAAATCACGTAATACATACTAGGAAAACCGTATTGTATCTTTTACACTATGTATATAATATACAAATATTTATCCTTTAAATAAAGAGGGAAGTGTCGGATACAAGTTTTTTGAGACTGACCACTATACAGGAGTGAGAGATTGCACTCATACCCAGTCAATATTTATTCATATTTGTTACTTGGCTTTATGTTTGAAATATGTGAAGCGCGAGTTGTAATAAAAATCAGACCAACATACGTTGTCCGTGATAGTTATAGAAACTAGACTTGACAAGGTTTACGCAAGAGTTATAACCATTGTGCTTCGTTGAAGTTGAGTTCTGTTCTCTATTTTCTAGAATCTTACAGATAGTTGGTTCAATATTTTACCTTATTTAGCTTTTGTAATTAACAGTTGTTGTGCTTGCATTGATCTGTATTTGCAGGAAGAAGAAAAACACAGAAAAAAAACAATACAATAGCATAATCATAATTGTCGTTCACGAGCTTGCTCGAGCAGTTCCTATTTGAACATTTAAACCCATGGGCAGGTTTGCATCGACGTCAGAATGTTGCTATTGTTGTTCAGACTTAACAGATTTCATTTCCTCAGAAACCAAATATGTATTGTAATCTCTACACATATCACATATAAAGAGACGTTTATGGAATTAAAAACACGTTCAACTGTCCTACGTATTATAGTTATTAATAGAGACACGTGGATTGGTGGACGAAAGCACTAATCACTTCAGAAAGCCACTAAAATGTTATCAAGATTAATAAACGTGTTTAAATTATTTCTTTAAGATTTGAAATTGACATAGAATGTCAGTTGTCATGGTGACGAGATCATTGGTCGTCATATTTCCTATGGTTACAGCTAGGGAGAGACAATTTCAGCCAGGCACTAACAAGGAAATGAAGAAATCAAATGTGACGGGTTATTAATGCTTTAAAGATTACGTCATCATCATTGTCACCAGGAAATTTCAAAGCTGCATTTGTACATATAAAGGTTTTTTAAACAAATAGAGATAATCCTTCATTCTAGATTAAATATAAAATATCAGGCCAATAATTATAGATATGAGCTGGTTATCATCAGTTTTGTATTTGTTTATCAGTAATAGCTTATGTTCGTATGATTAATATTAAATATAACAAACACCAGCTAACAGTGACTAGCCCAACATCGTAATGTATTCATAAGTGTGAGTGAACAGTATTCTTTAATGCTTCAAATTATAACAGAAAAGCTTAATTTATATAACATAGAACATAATAGTCCTGAATGCGAGTCGCGTATTTTACAGCAAGAAACTAAAAATGCGTGTTGTGAATAATTAATATATAGTGTCGCACGTATCTTTTTATCTATTTTGAGTATTTTCTTTCCTTTTTTCATACGTTTGAGTCACCGAGCGTATTTCATTCATGGTCAAAAAATATAACCTAGGGTTTACAAATGCATAAAGAATTGTTTATATTTACCATTATTGAATGGACAAAGTGTAAGCTTTAGAATTTTAGTTAAAGCCGTAATTGTTTGTGCATTAATTTGAATGTATGAGTACAATTTACATAACATCATACTACAGTTATATTGTGAAACGCAAAATAGTCCATCTTGGCGACAGCATCATTTAAAACAGATACAAAAAAGCATGAACACCAAATGAAAAGGTACAATTTCATACCTACAACAGCAGAGATAAGTTCAAGCTTACCTATCCAATCACGAACATATGAGACCTTCAATATTACGCCTACAATACAAAAGGACAATTCGTGGTGGTACCATTGTCCTGATAGTGTTTACGTATCTCACGGAAAACAGAAGGGCCCGTTACATTAATTTGCATACCGGTAATTACAAACCACAATTAGACATTGATTTCACAGCACGACTTAGATAACACTAGGAGGTGCCGATTGCACCGTCCAATCCCGCCACCAATACGAGATCCACCTTACGTTGTTTTGCAGTCCTTTATTCAATAAATCTATTGAAAATCATAATAGGGCCGTAGCCACTGTCAAGTCATATCATTCAACAGTTATAAACGAGCTCGTCAACCTAAGATTTCCATGGAAAAATGTGCCTAACAAATCGCATTAGAGAAAGTGTATTTCGCAATATAGTTGATTCAAGCAAACGGGGATGTCCAAATGGAAAGCGTTTTATGTTTCGGATGGAAATCTTAATTAATTTTGTCATAAATGCACTAAGCGTCAAAACAGAAGAATGACGCATTTCAAAAATAATGTAATTCTCTTGTGGTCCATAGATTTTCGTTCATTTTCTTCACTGCTTCGTTACACAACGGGATAATGTTATACGTGTAACGTTTCTTTGGGTTTGCATAGTTTCATCAAATGCAACGTCATGACGTTTGTACTTTCATCACATTTGTATCATATTATGGAATGCCTTCTCACTCTAGGGTTCTTTATCTTTCAAGGATTCTTTTCAAATAAACTCAATGTAATTTTATGCTTTGTTTTAGTAAAATCCTAGTCAATTCACCTCCAACTAAAACAGGTAAAAATCCTTTGTTTAAAACAGAAAGAACTCGGAGTAACTGTAGGTTGAAATGTATTTATTTATTTTAAACATACAGCTGGTGCACGTGTGAACAATATGTGTTACAACAGTTATGAACAGTAATTATTGAGGTCAACATCAGTGGTAAATACACAAAAAATGATATTTCTTTTGGCCCCAAAAATTCGTTCGTGGTTGATAAACATCCTATTAGGCTCAATCCATGTTTATAGTTAATACTAGTTCATCAGTCTGATGAATGAAGTGTTCCAATATGTTGAAATGTATCGAACTTTCTAAATAAACTAAGTACTATGTCATCGTCCTTACAGAATCACCAGATTTGACGACAAGTGATGAGGACGCTGAGTTATGTGGGATTGCTAGCGGCGGTCCTGTCGATGTATGGCGGGGTTCTAGGAGACTACCTTACAGATTGGTGCCTCGACAATCAGCCAGAATGTAACGGAATTATAGCTGCAGCCACAGGTAGGTTTTTACAACGGATATAGAGCATATAGGTACTCACCGGGACTGAGATCAGTGATCAGTGTACCATAGATCTGTTCCGGTTCAAACACGTTTATGTACAAGCCTTCTGATCGGACGAAGTGACATCGATGTCGACATTTTTCTCAGGCTCGATGTGTACCTTTGCCTAGTGGTGTAGGACTGACACATCCTATGAATGCTATGCTTATAGGATATAATTTCTTCCATTACGGATAGATTTATTTGTAAAGGATAGCGATGCACTTTTCCTAAAATGGTGACTAGATTCACGCGCTGAACCTCGAACGGTCATCATGCATTTTCATGATGACGCCATATTAACGTTAGGCGGTTTGGCATAGAGTACATTATTGCACTAGAGATCTTTTAATTTTGAAAAGGAGTGGTTGAAAGATAATCTTTCCCTAGTTTTGTTGTTAAACAGAAGAAAAACATAAGCCTAATTACAAACGAAGCTGGAAGAGTACAACAGGTTTAAAATGCATAGGTAGCATTATGTGAGTCCTTGAACTTGATTGGCCATAACAAATGACCGTGTGAGTAACCCCTAGTGTCTAATCTCGCTATTTTTATTCTCAGCGTTTGATCTCCCTAACAAATCTGGTCTAATAATTTGCATTGGATCACAATCTAAAGATGAAATTTCCATTAACAATTACCTTGGGCTCCCTACAATCCGAAGGAATGTGCTTTAATATAAGCATACACATTTAGAAAATCTGTTTTTCTTTCTAATCTTATTTAAGACAAAAAAAGCATTTCATGTTTTTGGTATGATAAAGGGGATTGCCTCAAATATATACATTGTAAATAAAAACAGTAGCAAAACAACCAGTGGAAATTCTATCATAGCAATATTGGAAAGTGTGTATCTTAAAGTTGAGAAATGTATCATAAGTACAATGTATAAATAGAAAACTGTAATTTACATATAAATATAAAGGAAATCTGTAAGCACACCCAAATAATCAGTTATATACTGAAGACTAGCGATATTTTTTGGTAAGATACAAAAAGTCTTCAACGAGGTTTTAGCAGAATAAATCATGTACAATTTAAACTATTTACGGGTGTTTTTATCCGTCCCGTTTGCGAACATCTCTGACTGTCTGTCATTGGAGCAGATGTTTTGTGATACCACAATCATCTTTTATAATAGCCTCTGTACTACACTCTGTTAGGCAGTCTCGTTTCGAGAGCCCTTAAAAGACATTTATACACAGGGTTGGTCATAAAGTTGTCGTAACCCTAACGGACAGTTGAAATAAAGTATAATAAACGATGACTACAAAAGACCAATATCATTACTTTTTGAAATTGCAAATTTTATATCTGTGAACGTTATTTCGCGGCTGACCGTAGGCCCATGTGATGCTAGGAGAGCCGACTTGGGCCTCGCCGGCCTCAGCACTATACATCATAGATAAAGAGACATTTCAATTCCATGTTTTCACAAACATTGGAATCAAAGTCAATAGATGGTGTGCTTTATGACTTCATTGCTATCACTGTGTAGGCGCTGGAGTAACAACAGCGCAATTCGCGGGCATATCAACCTCCAAATGTCACCCCAGACAACGGGAGGTCAAACCAACAATAGTTATCGAGGATAAAACCTGGGCTTAACTCGTTCATAGCTCTCAGCGTGTGCGACAACAATAGTATTTTGCAGTGTAATTTTCAATATAATTGATAATAGGCGACGTGTAGGCTTAAAACACACACAAATCCTTGTACGAAAACGATTACAATCTAAAAACACACAAATTCGTTTACAAAAATGATTACAATCATAAACGATTACAATCTTAAAACACACGCAAATCCTTGTACAAATACGATTACAATTTAAAAGGTGTTTTATATCGTTTGACATTTGTATACAACTTGCAGCAGTTTTTGTTCCCTATTGTATACATGTATATACTCTATTCTGCCTGGATCTCTAATTTACATATACTGAATTATCGGTCTGATGTCCTAAGGTATATATATATATATTGTATTCTGTCTGGTTCCCTAGAGTATACTAGATATACTGTATTCTGACTAATCCTAAGGGTATCGAGACTGTAAAATGGCCGACTCTCTGGGGTTTAGATACTGTATTCTATCTTGTTCATAGTTCAAAACTGTATTTTGACTGGATTAGAACGATCATCTCCCAGCTTAGTTCTAGGAACACGAACCTTCCGTTGATTAAACATCGTTGCCCGTGTCATCGGCTGGCCAACGTCTAGTTTCACTGACCGCATCGATTGCTATTTTGTTCTTCTTGAGTTGTACACGCCTTTAACCTATCTCCATAGCTACGGCCAGTAAAAGGTCAAGATATACATTTCGTCGAATAATTTGATTTAAAGATTAACATTGGATTGTATGGTAATGTCGGAACCCTTTTTGTCTTCTTCGTTGAAATATCATCTTTATTTTTTCTTATGGTTCAAAAAATAATAATTAGCTTTGAGTATTTCTTAGGTTCTTATATTGTTCTAAATCTATTGTAATAAACCCGATGACATGTCAATTTGGATACATTTAGTTCACCCTCTATAGGCCCACATCATCAGGCGTGTTATCTGTCACTAAACTCCAAAGCCTAGTAACTCCGCGGTGACTCCATTCGACGGCTGACAGGAGAGCGCCGAAGAGGGAGATAATCATACAGTACGTGCGTTATCGCCGCTAGCATGCATCATATTGATATTGGGTGTTTTTTATTTATAATTTTGGCCTTAGCCGACAACACTATGCATTGGTTTTCTTAATCATCTCTTCATGCGATGGCATATGGTGTAACTGTAAAGACAGAACTGTGTCCTGCTTCTCTACAGATTTTACCTTTAAATGACCTCGTGCAAGCGATCGTTTGTACTAAAACTTCTGTTTTCCTTTAAATGCATGTTCATTTCACATTCAATGAAAACAGGTAGTTTGTTTTTTGTTGTAAGCGATACATTACATTAATGTATTTCCCATCCGATCATCACTGTCAACTAGTGTATCAAACAGGTCTCAATAGCTTCCCCTACTGGTTACGTTATTATGACCCAATAAAGCAAGCCATGATTCCTGATTGACAGCAGAGGATTTATGTAAATAGATCCTCTAGTAAACATTATGATGTTGTTCAGTTTAAGTGCTAACGTAATGAAGTAAATAATATGCACAATCATGTTCGACTAAGATTATATATAAAAGAAGCATCCATGACCTCAATTACTGACTGATATTCATCTTTAGAGACAAAAACTCATATTTGGAGACTAATTAAAAGACTTGCGATGCCTTCAAGCTTGTAATAATCGTTTCCTACTCTTCATGATTTTGAGTCGAGCGAAATTGTTATAACCGATAACGGTACAGTAAATATTTTAAATAAACGTGTTTTCGTTCTCTTTCCTATATTATTGGTAATGTTATTGATGATACCTCCATAGATTAACCTATGGTTCAGAGCAAGGCCGACGTCGTTCTACGTTCCTTATTTGTTTACGCTTCAGAATATATTATGTTTAAAATTTTAAAATTATGTAAAAACATACAGAATCAAACCCGTTTAGTAACAGTTGTTCTTGTCATCCACTGGCGTTAAATATGGTCTCTCTTACTTAGCATATATCTTCAAACTTGGAAACTTGCAAATCAAAACCTTAAAAGTGTGACAGCCATTCTCCGTGGAATTCTTTCTTTAATAACTCTATTTACTATATCATTTTAGAAAATGTTCTTACCGTTCCGTGGCCGTTAAGCAGCTAACCGACTCACTAAAATTTACGATCATCAGCCTCAATGAATTTACGGACATAAGACACTATACCAAACCCAACAAGAAAGACACATGTTTAATGTCGTATGTAATGTCTTGACATTTGTTAAAAGGACTTATAATCAATTTGAAAGCATATTCAATACCTGCTGACCAATCAAGATGGTTTACAAACATCCTCTCTGACTGACACCAGCAAGTGTTTATTTAAAATTTTCATTCTTAAAGCAGGGATTCCAAAAGCTTCTAATCTTTAACGATAATGAAATAGCTGACGTTTTCATTCCGCTTTAAGATTCTTTGATGGCGAACCGTTTCTTTCGTGCATTTTCTTTTCCTCTCGTGAAAAAGAATCTGTTCTTAATTTAGATATAGATTCCTTCAGTAAAAGGGCACACTAATGGTTAGATGATTTTAAACAAAATAAATGTTCGATATTTTTTAATTCAACGGAATTAGCCGGAGATAATGGTGTGTTGTTCCAGTTTTGGAAGGGGACGGGGTTAATATTGTTGATACATTCACTTCAGTAATATAGAAAATAAAGTTAAAAGCATATGCTTAAATAAGAATTTTGTTAGAAATACATGTAAATGACATTGTTTTCATTTTATCTATTACTAAATACTATGGGTAATTATGGGACGAATGTTCAATGAAAGAGAGTAATATGTTTGAAAAATGCCATCGAGAAACTGCTGGACTTATCACTGGTAATTCTTCTCAATATTTGCAAATCGAGAACAACCTCTCGGTGATGCCTCATACCAGGAAGTGTAGTTTAATATATAGACATACTTATGAAAATAAACATGACTAACCGTCCTACTTACTAGATCATATTTACGATATCAACAAGTATCATGTTTTGGTAGAGGTGTCGTAAGACTTTCATCGGTAGTCACGTGGTATACATATATACGGCATTCGTTCTGAATGTACGCACAACCATTTACTTCCTTTTACCTAAATCGATCCTGAAAATTTGAGATGAAGATAATCATCATAAAGAAAATTGTTTTCTAGATGCCAATATCTAAATCATATTCCCTGTAGGACGCATCAAGTAATAGATCGACGCTGGGCAAGCTGGGGCATCTATGAATGATATAACGTTGTTTGGAGAACTCTTTAGTCCGGAGTTCCTAGAATCGTAGCTTGGTAGACACACAGCCAGATTATTGTTTGTGTCTAGACTCAAAACTGCAAAAGACTTTGATTCTAAAGAGTTCTGTCGCGTGCATGTTGTGATTCGGACTGTGGTTTGGGAGGGAATTTTATGATTTCATTAATTTGCCATTTAGAAAATGGCCTCTGTCTCATTTAATGGCTAGGTTTGAGTAGGAGCTTCATACTTATCTAAGATATGAACTTTAGCGACATAGTCAATATGGGATAGGGTATATAACTAAACACTCACATACGAGCCGGTAGTATTCTAGACCAACCTGATTTTATCTATCAAAACGTTTTATTCGATTTAGATTGTTGGGTATACAATCTGAGTTTGACATGAAAAATGTAGTTTATATTCCTTTCTTGGCATCTTTTATTAATATTTCGGTAAAATATCACTACTGAGACTTTTTAAATCAAACTAGTCAGGCGAAAATTCCTTTTCTCGTTTGATATTTAAAAAAACAACAGTTCAATTAGGTTCAGAGATTCATGTAAATGAAGATTAAGGACAACGTTTACATTCGCCATCATGGTTTCATTGAGATTTATCCGTCTTTCCAAAGCGACATGAATTACCGTTTTTGATCGTACTCATTAGTGTGCCTCATGGTTTCGTTGTCACCTCCATCGGTTTTCACTCGTAGAACGTGAGATTACTGGAATTCGACCTAGGTTTACACGGCGGGTGTCTTTGATAAGGAAGAAGAAGCCTTCCCCTTAGGATCGTTTGATATACGACAATACAATAGATATGTTGTGCATACAAAATTGTTTTATATATTACTAATGTCAAAGAACAATTATTTCTATGACGTATTAGCCACCTGGTATCTCAATATTTAACATCAAATATATTTTCGTGCGTGTCTCAAAACATGACAGTGGCTGACGCTAGTCGGTTTACAGACCCATTATTGCGTATAACGCCATTAAAATCCGTGGCCACTTACGTTACTGCGATTTATGTTCCCGCTTTATAGTCTATGAATCCATGAAACTTATATTTTGCTGAATCCTTTTGACAATGGTAAACGATCTGTTGATATGATTAGAGATATCTGTTGTGTAGGAGATGGCCGTAAGTGGCCGTAGATAACCAGGCCTGACGTCTATATAACCTTTGGACACGTAAGGACAGGTTCAGCCCTGATTGGCTGCGACTGTTGGTCAGACCTCTGGGCCCCTGCCTCAACGTGAGAATACACTGTGGCGGCAACAGATCAGATAGCAAACTCGACATCGTCGATCTGGGTCTTGCTTACTGGTCCCAAGCTCTCAAGGACAATGTAAAATCTCTCATTTTTGAGAACAGTATGGCAAATGGCAATTTATTCCTCGTGTGTCTGCAATCCCGATGGACTTCACGTCTGCCATTTTGTAAATTGTTTGTGATTGGCTTCGCTCTCTCCGACAATGCCACAAACCTCATATAAATCAATCAAGGTTCTTTTGAATAAATTCAGCAATATGATGAATGGACTTGTGCTTAAAGACAAAGCGTATACTCCCACAGATGTCCACTAAGGATAAAATGTGTATCTCATTACAGCAACGGTCGCCTCACACGGTACCGCAGCACGGGCATATAAAGATATCAATTCTAGATATAATACATTTTTACGGTTACGATTTAAGCGATTTTCATTTTCTGAGGATTTGAATTCGCGACCTCAATAAACAACAACAGAACAAATGTCATATATCGAGGCTGCTATATTCTCAATCCTCATATATTTATATATGAATAATGAATCACATACTACGTCATATGGCAAATACAATACTACCCCATACAACCCGTGTAGGTACGGTGGGAGAATAGGACTGCTGTTTCCACTTAATGATCTTAAGAAGCTACTAGCTCGAGCCCCGAAAACAAACAAATTAACCCTACACGACAAGCTAAATATACACTATAATACGTAAAATGACAAACTCAAAAAAACAGCACACGTGACCCAATAAGCACGCAAAAGCGTGGGCAAATTCTGTACTTTCAATGATGGTCGTTTATTGGTATGTGTTATACTGCTGTGTGCCTTTTTATTTCACCACATTGCATCCGATTGTCTTACTGCTGCCTTATTTTTGGCATTCTGAATCTTATACCAAAATTTTAAAAGTGCTATCACATGTGTATGTCCTACATTCATCTTAGATACAAAATGGTAGATTTTGCTGGTGGATTTCTTAGACCCCGAGGTTTGATGTGACCTTGATAGACAGAGTGGTATCTTTTGGTTAATTCATCAATAACATATCATTTAGAGCATTTTTGTTTACTGTATATGTGTAAAAAAAAAAACGCGAGCGCATTGTATAAATCCTAATGTAAAAAAATATGTTAACATGCAAATCAAAACAATATATATTAATTTTTGACAAATTGAAATAGTTATAATTTCTATTTATATATCATCATTATTAGACCAATTGCAAATTAGCATTTTAAAAATAAGGCCAACCAGTGCTGATATTCATATATAAATAAAATAAAAATCCAATGCATGTATTTGACAAAATTAACTTATTCTGACATTGATATATAGAATCTAGTTTCATTGCGAATCTGGATATATTTCCTTTGTTGGTTGACAATACATACATATTACAAGTCTGGTAAATGTGTCGTGACAAACTCCTGTTAGTTTTGCTATTTCGAAAGGTAAGTATATCCTACATATATTCGTTACGCTTACTGGGTTTAGTTCGTTGCGTTCACTGGTGCTGACAACGAGAATGTTTTCCCCTATTGTGCTGCACCTTGTTGGCATGGGTCTAGGATTCACACAACTAAATCATTTCAATATGTTATAACTTAGCTTTGAGCTAATAACTTTAACATTTTAAGTTCAACACAAATGGCAACTGTCTTGATGCTTAGATACATACCTGACAAATGCTGCAAAGGGCATTTTGGTAGGTTTAAAGGCACATAAAGGCGTCACAGACTTAAGATGTTGACTGCACGCATTTTTCCAGCCAAACCGACGAAGCGGAACAAGAACACCCTCTGACTTTTAACCCCTTGATACATCTATTATCAGATGTTACAATCTACTTAAACTATACATTTTCTTCCATATTAAATACCTGTTAATTTAATTGAACACAAATCTGCCAGCAAGTACATATTTTATTTACACAGAGTGCCTGTATTTAACCGGAACGCACTTTAGGTAGGGATTAAGATAAAAGAACGCTTTCTGATTGGTTGATTTATATGTCGTTCAATGACGGTCTTAACGGAGAAATTGTACATTTATATTTATTTTTCATATCCAATAAAACGTTGTCTCATGTCACATTATGCGTGTCTCAACTAAGCAATGCAATAAATGCATATATTGAATAAAAGAAGATGACAATTGAATGTTTACATAATATTTATTTCGTGTTCTACACGATCAGGTTTGTTTTCCAGAAATAAGAGTGGTCGCGGACCATAAAAAACTTGTCGTATCTCGCGATCGATGTACTTTCACGTTGATAAGGATTTATATTTAGTACAATTTAAGAAGAAAAAGGGACAAATTTGTTTACAGGTCGCCACGAGAGGGAGAAAAAAACTGTTGATATATGCCATTAGAGACATAGGACTATGATACTGAACACAGATTCGTTTGGACGTTTTAGACAAACACTGAATCGATTTTATCGTACATAGACAGCCTTGATAACATTTGGCTGAAAAATAGTACCTGATTGACAAATGTTAAAATGTTGTGCTTTTTCTGTATTTCCAGGAACCGATGAGGATGCTAAAGAAAAAAGAACATTCCTCCGTTTCGGCCGTGCTCTCAGTGGCGATGCTTTCTTCAGATTCGGAAGAAATCCAGTCCAGTTTGAGGACAAACGTTTTCTTAGATTCGGAAGAAACGGCGGAAGTGAGGGAATTGATGAATTACTCAGGCATGCTCTGAACAAAGTTGAGAGCGTAGAGCGAGCCACGGGGTTGAAGTTGAGACGAAAGCGATCAGTCGAGCCAATACAGCCAGTGAAAAACGTAGACGAAATAGAAGAGGCAAGTAAACAATCGGCAGAGGCAAGCAAAGCAGATACAGACAAAAAGAAACGAGATGCTGATGATGCGGACGAAAACAAAGAAAAACGCTTCATGCGGTTTGGTCGTACCCCCGACGACGAGACTGGCGACGAAGACATGGCAAAACGGTTCATGCGCTTCGGTCGATTCATGCGTTTTGGTAAAAGCGGAGACGAGAAACGCTTCATGAGATTCGGCAAAAAGTCCGATACAGAAGGTGACGAGGACAAAGATAAGCGTTTCATGAGATTCGGTAAAAGATCCGACGATGAAATGGAAGCAGACAAAAGATTCATGAGATTCGGTAAGAAGTCTGACGATGAAATGGAAGCCGACAAACGATTCATGAGGTTTGGTAAGAGATCTGACGATGAAATCGGAGCCGACAAACGTTTCATGAGATTTGGTAAGAGATCTGACGATGAAATCGGAGCCGACAAACGTTTCATGAGGTTTGGTAAGAGATCGGACGATGAAGTCGGAGCCGACAAACGTTTCATGAGATTCGGAAAGCGATCTGACGATAAAATGGATGCCGACAAACGATTCATGAGATTCGGAAAGAGGTCTGACGATGAAATGGAAGCGGACAAACGGTTTATGAGGTTTGGACGTGCCGGACCTGAAGCTGATAAACGCTTTATGCGATTCGGTCGTGACGGTGCAGATGAGAAACGGTTTATGCGATTCGGAAAGAAATCTGATTCTGATAACGAAGCAGAAAAGCGATTTATGAGGTTCGGTCGCGATGGAGCTGATAAAAGGTTTATGAGATTTGGACGTGACGGCACTGACACGGAGGCCGACAAACGATTCATGCGATTCGGAAAAAAATCTGATGAAACAGACAGCGATATGGAGGAAAACAAAAGATTTATGAGATTCGGTCGCGACAACAACCAGGATAAACGGTTTATGCGTTTTGGCAGGAGTGGTGCTGACGACGAAAAGAGGCTCATGCAATATGGCAAATTTGACAAGCGTTTTATGCGATTTGGTAGGTCAGGACAAAATGAAGACAAACGTTTTATGCGTTTTGGCCGATCAGGTCAATTAGAAGATAAACGCTTCATGCGTTTTGGACGTTCTGGTGAGACAGAAGATAAACGCTTCATGCGTTTTGGACGTTCGGACAGTTCAGATGACAGTGAAGCAGCTAAACGATTTATGAGATTCGGAAGATAGATCTAACAATAAACATTAAGCAATAAGGTATCACTTCTATGCTTGTGAACCAGAATGATATCACGTGACAAGAAATGATGAGTTGATATTGATATGTTGTTATAATGCTGTAAATAAATTTATAATGTATATAAAGATTGTGAATGTTCTTTCCGGAAAGAACAAATATATTGATATTACTATACGATATGTTAACAGAATATTATTTTCATATGTATATTTAACTTTAAAAACTGCTCAGTATTCTTAGGGTTGGCGTAAAGGGGCCTGTTCTACAAAACTAATGGGTTTCTACGTATGATTTATATTGTGTTTCAGCATTTTGTTGTTTTGTTGTTTTGTTCCTAATGTTTAAAAGAAAAGAATGTACTATTGAATAAAATGGATCAGAACAAAGCCGAAATCAGCTAATTTTCTGTAAGGTATTTATCGCTATACCGAAAAGGATACAACGAGTAAAAACGTTCTAGAGCTGTACTTGGCGTCAACAATTCCTTCCTGTAATCGTCAAGTTCATTCTCCCTTCGCTTACATAAAATAAAAAAGTGAGACAGACAGAGTTCAGATCATGCAAAAAAGAATTCCATGCTGAAAATACTGGAATATTGCTTAACCTTTGTAGCCGCTTGGTAACCACTAACCAGATCAACGAACTGAAATAGGAATGGATGACGTATACTTTAGCGTTAATTTACTATACGTTTCCCTGACGTCATTGTCCCACCATTGACGTTGTTTTGGGCACCATTGGTTTCGTTATATTTTTTTTCTGGAACTGATTCGATCTTCACCAAAATGGATAAAATTGCGTTATCAATAGAAGATAAAATAAGACACATATTAAAAAGAACAAAAGGTGTGAAATAAATGCAACATCACACAAGCAAAATATCAGACCGTGCAAGTAGCACTCGTTTATTGCGCGGATGTGTGCAGCCACCCTTGCGTTATGAGTACCCGTGGCTGTATTATTCCGCACATAAACTCGCGCTCTCTGTGACGGCAGATAACGACACATGTTGGGAACTGTTTTGTAGCTCATTAAAACTATTTAAATAAACGTCATTCTATAAAGAGAAAATAGTATACAGTAACAATAAAGCTGTGACATTGTTTTTGAAAGGAAGACAAAAATTGTCCCTGTGATAATGAATGTGGTATTTTTCAAAGGGATGTACGATAAATAGTTAACAAAATATATATGAATTCAGACCGACATATGAAGACGTTTGAGGATAAGTAACTTAAGGGATTTATAAAATATAATTTTTTAGAGAGTAAAAATCATGAGTTCGTCGTTTCGAATAACAATTCATCGTTTGTTATTTCATACTTTGTGCTGTAACACCTACTTTAAACGAAAATCTGATAGACATCACGCAAAATCATATATATCTCACGATTTTAGTTCTCTCCTTAAACTTAAACATCAATGGACAAGAAGATGTTTGTATGAACATGATACATTATAACTACGGAAAGTATTTATATAACAAACACGACACCAACAAAGATACAGTGGCGATACAGGCTGTATGAAATATACAAGAGGAAGGATCCCAAGCACTTACCAGGATTAGGGCTAGAGTTATACTGTAAAACACTTACCAGGATTAGGGCTAGAGTTATACTGTAAAAAAAACTTAACCAGGTTTAGGGTTAGAGTTATACTGTTAAAACACTCATAAGGATTAGGGTAAGAGTTATACTGTAAAAGCACTGACCAGGATTAGGGTTAGAGTTATTCCGTAAAACACGTATGAGGATTAGGGTTAGAGTTATACTGTAACAACTCTTACCAGGATTAGGGTTAGAGTTATACTGTTAAAACTTTTAAGAGGATTAGGGTTAGAGTTAAACTGAAAAACACTTACCAGGATTAGGGTTAGAGTTATACTGTAAAACACCTACCAGGACTAGGGTTAGAGCTATACTGCAAAAATTCTTATGAGGATTAGGGTTAGAGTTATACTGTAACAACTGTTACCAGGATTACGGTTAGAGTTATACTACAAAACACTTACCAGGATTAGGGTTAGAGTTATACTGTAAAAACACTTACCAGGATTAGGAATAGAGTTATACTGTAGAACACGTATGAGGATTAGAGTTAGAGTCATACTGTAAAACACCTATGAGGATTAGGGTTAGAGTTATACTGTAAAACACTTACCAGGACTAGGGTTAGAGTTATATTGTAAAAACACTTTCCAGGATTAGGGTTAGAGGTATACTGTAACAACTCTTACCAGGATTAGGGTTAGAGTTTTATTAACAATCACTAACCAGGATAAGGGTTAGAGTTATACTGTTAAAAACTTACCAGGATTAAGGTTAGAGTTATACTGTAACAACTCCTACCAGGGTTAGGGTTAGAGTTATACTGTAACAACTCTTACCAGGGTTAGGGATAGATTTATATTGTAAAACACTTACTAGGATTAGGGTTAGAGTTATACTGTAACAACACTTACCAGGTTTAGGGTTAGAGTTATACTGTTAAAACACTTATGAGGATTTAGGTAAGAGTTATACTGTAAAAATACTTACCAGGTTTAGGGTTAGAGTTATACTGTAAAACACTTACCAGGATTAGGGTTAGAGTTATATTGTAAAAACACTTACCAGGATAAGGGTTAGAGTTATACTGTTAAAAACTTACCAGGATTAAGGTTAGAGTTATACTGTAACAACTCCTACCAGGATTAGGGTTAGAGTTATACTGTAACAACTCTTACCAGGGTTAGGGATAGATTTATATTGTAAAACACTTACCAGGTTTAGGGTTAGAGGTAAACGGTTAAAACACTTGTGAGGATTAGGGTTAGAGTTATACTGTAAAACACTTACCAGGATTAGGGTTAGAGTTATACTGTAAAACACGTATGAGGATTAGGGTTAGAGTTATACTGTAAAACACTTACCAGGATTAGGGTTAGAGTTATACTGTAAAACACGTATGAGGATTAGGGTTCGAGTTATACTGTAAAACACTTACCAGGATTAGGGTTAGAGTTATACTGTAAAACACGTATGAGGATTAGGGTTAGAGTTATACTGTAAAACACTTACCAGGATTAGGGTTAGAGTTATACTGTAAAACACGTATGAGGATTAGGGTTCGAGTTATACTGTAAAACACTTACCAGGATTAGGGTTAGAGTTATACTGTAAAACACGTATGAGGATTAGGGTTCGAGTTATACTGTAAAAACACTAACCAGGTTTAGGGTTAGAGTTATACTGTTAAAACACTTATGAGGATTTGGGTTAGAGTCATACAGTAAAACACCTACCAGGACTAGGGTTAGAGCTATAGTGCAAAAATTCTTATGAGGATTAGGGTTAGAGTTATACTGTAAAAACGCTTACCAGGTTTAGGGTTAGAGTTATACTGTAAAACACTTACCAGGATTAGGGTTAGAGTTATACTGTAAAAACACTTACCAGAATTAGGGTTAGAGTTATATTGAAAAAAACACTTACCAGGATAAGGGTTAGAGTTATACTGTTAAAACGCTTTTGAGGATTAGGGTTAGAGTTATACTGTAAAACACTTACCAGGTTTAGGGTTAGAGTTATACTGTTAAAACAATTTTGAGGATTAGGGTTAGAGTTATACTGTAAAACACTTTCCAGGATTAGGGTTAGAGTTACACTGTAAAACACCTGCCAGGATTAGGGTGAGAGTTATACTGTTAAAACGCTTTTGAGGATTAGGGTTAGAGTTATACTGTAAAACACTTACCAGGTTTAGGGTTAGAGTTATACTGTTAAAACAATTTTGAGGATTAGGGTTAGAGTTATACTGTAAAACACTTTCCAGGATTAGGGTTAGAGTTACACTGTAAAACACCTGCCAGGATTAGGGTGAGAGTTATACTGTAAAACACTTACCAGGATTAGGGTTAGAGTTATACTGTAAAAACACTTACCAGGTTTAGGGTTAGAGTTATACTGTTAAAACACTTTTGAGGATTAGGGTAAGAGTTATACTGTGAAACACTTACCAGGATTAGGGTTAGAGTTATACTGTAAAACACTTATGAGGATTAGCGCTAGAGTTATACTCTCAAATACCTTAACAAGATTAGAGTTAGACTTTACTGTTAAAAACACGTATGAGGATTAGGGTTAGAGTTAGAATGTACCAATACTCATGGGAATTTTATATACTGTAAATAACACTAACTAGATTCGGATCAAAGATATGCAATCAAAATATTAAATCGGATAAGTGCTTGATTTACCACATAAAACACTACTTCAGATTAAGATCACAGTTACACTGCAAAAACACTTATTTACATTAAGGCAAGACTTACACTGTAAAATACTGATAGAGATTAAGATCAGACTTACACTGTAATATACTGATAGAGATTAAGGCAAGACTTACACTGTAAAATAATGGTAGAGATTAAGGCAAGACTTACACTGTAATATACTGGTAGAGATTAAGGCCAGACTTACACTGTAATATACTGGTAGATATTAAGGCAAGACTTACACTGTAATATACTGATAGAGATTAAGGCAAGACTTACACTGTAATATACTGATAGAGATTAAGATCACACTTACACTGTAAAATAATGATAGAGATTAAGGCAAGACTTACAATGTAAAATAATGATAGAGATTAAGGCAAGACTTAAACTGTAATATACTGATAGAGATTAAGATCACACTTACACTGTAAAATAATGATAGAGATTAAGGCAAGAATTACACTGTAATATACTGATAGAGATTAAGATCACACTTACACTGTAAAATAATGACAGAGATTAAGGCAAGACTTACACTGTAAAATACTGATAGAGATTAAGGCAAGACTTACACTGGAAAATAATGATAGAGATTAAGGCAAGACTTAAACTGTAATATACTGATAGAGATTAAGATCACACTTACACTGTAAAATAATGATAGAGAATAAGGCAAGGCTTAAACTGTAAACTAGTGGTAGAGATTAAGGCCAGACTTACACTGTAATACACTGATAGAGATTAAGGCAAGACTTACACTGTAAAATAATGGTAGAGATTAAGGCAAGACTTACACTGTAATATACTGATAGAGATTAATGCAAGACTTACACTGTAAAATAATGATAGAGATTAAGGCAAGACTTACACTGTAATATACTGATAGAGATTAAGGCAAGACTTACACTGTAAAATAATGAGAGAGATTAAGGCAAGACTTACACTGTAAAATAGTGGTAGAGATTAAGATTAGATTTACACTGTAAAATAGTGGTAGAGATTAAGATTAGATTTACACTGTTAACACAGAAATTATTTTTTAAGAATGTCACTGGCCTACAATTAACTGTTATTTGCTTTCACAAATTGAATTCAGAGACTTGAATAAAAATATTCCTCTTTTTTATTACATTTATATTCCAGTCGTCGTGTC